GGCTCATTCTAGGCAGGCGTGCATGGTTTGCAAACTGTAAATGCTGCCAGATAACCAGCAGTGTCACGGGCCCATTTTAAAGACAGGCTATTTTAGACCAGAGTTACTTCACTGATGGACCCATGTTAGCTTCTGTACTATAGGGAAAAATGACAAAGTTATTTTACGTCCAGAATAGTCATGAACCTGTTCATTTTTTCTCTCGCAGCCAGCCCATTAAATAAAAGTGAAGATGATGACAGAATTTCTAGTTGATTTAATAAAAGCGTAAAACCATAAGAAGAACCCTGCTGGATCAGACCAGGGGTCCATCTACTCCAGCATCCTGTCTCACACAGTGGCCAACCAGTTCCTTTGGAGGGCCAACAACAGGGCACGGAGGCAGAAACCGTCCTCTGATGCTGCCTCCTGGCTCTGGGATGCAGAGGTTTAGCACCTCTGAATGTGGAGGTTCCCCTCAGTCACCATGGCTAGTAGCCACTCCTCCTTCATGAGTCTATTTAATCGCCTTTTAAAGCTGTTTATTCCTGTGGCCATCACTACATCCTTTGGCAGCGAATTCCACATTTTAATCACTCTCTGTGTAAAGAAATATTTCCTTTAGTCCTTCCTGCTCAGTCAGTCAGTTAGTTAACCTCCTAACTTCCTTGTTGTTAAAACAGTAGTATAGGTACCTTTTCAGGGAGTATAAATAAATAAATAATAAATAAATCTTTCAATTTATAAATCGCTCAATCCTGCAGAGCTTGCTGGCTCTGAGCGATTTACAGTTACTCCATTACACACGGGACTAACAATGATTCAAGGGGTAAGGGGGGACAACATATAATTTTTAAATCACACACGTTCGCAGCCGACGGGGAGTTTTTGTTCAGCTGTAAGGTCAGATGTGTTCCAATGGCATTTTCCCCTTGGCGTGGCTTGATGTCGTCAGCTTTTTCCGGACTGCTTCAAGTTGCAGCGCAGCACTGCCACCGCCTGGCCGGACGGCTCATTACAGGCTTCCTTAATGCCGAAGAGTTCTTTCTAGGCTTTTTGGTCTTACGCGCTAGACATTCCAGTCGTCAGCTAACACCTCCCCCACTGGGGGGTTTAGTGTGCCCACCCTCTCTAAGGAGTGGTACCCATTTTATCTACTCGCCGAAGCTTTCGAACCGCTGGTTGTGACGGCAAGCTGGGGACAAGGCTGGTAGCTCACACCAGCACGGGGCTAGAACTGACAGCAGCTCTGTTCAGCTCAGATGTATTAACCAGAGGATAAATCCCCTGTGCCACCGCTCCCCTTTTATGTTAATGTATGGAAAAATATCTTCATTTTTTTTCTTACTACAGTAACAGGCTAGATTAGAACCACATATCCTTAAAAATGTGCCTTTACCCACTGTTCCAGATTGGCTCCAGTTGAACAACTGGATCTGTAAAGGTACCAATTTAAATTGATTAAAGCCTGCAGACTTTAAAATCAAACCCAGGAGAGATTGTGACTAAATGGCAGGGAGTGCTTTTATCTGTTCCTGCAGAGGGAATACACACAGCTTATCAAACTATAATGTAGGGTATATTGCTTTATTACAGTAGTGCAGCTACTGTAGTGCTTCAGTGAAACAAGATTAAAGAGAACCGAAGAACCGTGTCATAAAATCTGTTGCTAGGATGCAGTCTTTAGGTTAGACAGATAGAGAACATTTTCAAGTTATGATTGATCATTTTGAACTATGAATGAACATTAATAGATAACACGTAGGAGAATATCTGAAACCCAGAATGGTGCAGTACCTTTTATTTTATTTTGCTGTCAAGTCACAGCTGATTTATGGCAACCCCTTGGAGTTTTCGAGGCAAGAGGAGTTCAGAGGTGGTTTGCCATTGCCTGCCTCTGCATAGCAACCCTAGACTTCCTGGGTGGTCTCCCATCCAAATACTAACCTGGGCAAACCCTGCTTAGCTTCCAGGATCTGATGAACTCAGGCTAGCCTGGGATATGCAGGTCAAGGTATTTATTATTTACTATTACGGCCAACCAAAAGGTAGCAAAATGGTGTGCAAACTTTTGACTTTCCCAGAACTCTTCATCAGGTTGTTTTTTAAAACAATTTTTGTTAAAACATTTTTTGTTAAATACACCAGTTTGGTGTAGTGGTTAAGCGTGTGGACTCTAATCTGGGAGAACTAGGTTTGATTCCCCACTCCTCCACTTGCATCTGGCTGGATGACCTTGGGCAAGCCATAGTTCTGGCACAGCTGTTCTTGAAAAAGAGCAGTGTGTATCAGAGTTCTCTCAGCCCCACCCACCTCACAGGGTGTCTGTTGTGGGGAGGGGAAGGGAAAGGAGTTTGTAAGCCGCTCTGAGACTCCCTTGGGTAGTGAAGGGCAGGTATAAATCCAATCTCTTCTTCTTCTTCATAAATTACTTACAAACATAATTTCAGACACACACACACACTTTTATCAAACTGTTCACTATAAGTTAACAATTTTGATCTGAATGCGATTAATGCTCTTTAACCACTTGGATCTCAGTTCTTCAAGGTTTTCGTTCCCTTGGAAGGATGTGAGCGTAATAATCAGATAGGCCTCCTTTACCTGGTTTAACCACTCGTTTACATTGCAGCTGGGCTGCTGGAGAAAGAGCTAAGTTACCCTACCCAAGCTCTAGAGATGGTTCAGCCTGGCATGATGCAACTTGTCCACCCTTTTTTGGAGGGTGCTCCAACCTTTGCACACCTGAAATGGAGGCTGGGGTGGCAGGGACAGAAGAGACCAAAAGCCAGCCTCAGATTGCGGCTGGGAGGTGAAAGGACAGGCTGGAAGCCCATATGATTCTGAGGAGGGGTCCTCTTCTATAGGGAGTTTTGCAGTGCAATCCTAAGAAGAGTTATGCCCTTTTAGGACCACTGATTTCGATGTACTTTTAAGGGTATAACTCCCTGATGTGACCTTGGGTCAGTCACAAGCTCTGGCACAGCTGTCCTTGAAAAAGAGCAGTTTGTGTCAGAGTTCTCTCAGCCCCACCCACCTCACAGGGTGTCTGTTGTGGGGAGGGGGAGGGAAAGGAGTTTGTAAGCCGCTCTGAGACTCCAAGTGAAGGGCGGGGTATAAATCCAATCTCTTCTTCTCTTTTCTTCTTCTCTTCTATAGGGAGTTTTGCAGTGTAATCCTAAAAAGAGTTATGCCCTTTTAGGACCACTGACTTCGATGTACTTTTAAGGGTATGACTCATTTTAGGATTGCACTGTAGAGGAGAGGTGTTCTGTTGACAGGGCAAGATCTCCTACTTGGTATATTAATAGGGCAGACACATGAAAAACAGCCCCATTACCTCTGGTTTGGCATGAAATATTCTATATATCCAAACGCCCATTAGTTCTAAATCTTGGCTGCGGTGGCTCAAGTGGTTAAGATGCTGAACTGCAGACCAGAAGGTCGGTAGTTCAGCAGTTCGAGACCAGAGTGCCGCATGACAGAGTGAGCTCCCGTCTCTGGCCCCAGCTCCTGCCAACCAGCAGTTCGAAAGCAAGAAATTGCAAGTAGATAAATAGGTACTGCTTCGGTGGGAAGGTAACAGCGTTCCGTGCGCCTTGGCGTCTAGTCATGCCACCCACATGACCACGGAAATGTCTTTGGACAGTGCTGGCTCTTCGGCTTGGAAACGGAGATGAGCACCGCATCACTAGAGTTGGATTCGACTGGCTTTCGAGAAAGGGAAACCTTTACCTTACCTTTACCTTTGTCAACAGAAAGATTACGTTTTCTCTCAAAGTTTTAGATAGACCTGTGTGTTTTGTTTGATGCTGTAGAGACATCGGTAACTACTGGATTTCGTATTCTCAAACAAAAGCAGGCATCTTCTTTTCTTCTAAGATGCTATCTGATACCAGCTCCCCTAATTTACCTGCTTACACATCCTGAATGAGACGCAAAATAGACTCCTTAACATTATGATCTGAAAAATCTTTTTCTCCAGCAGCCCAGCTGTATTGTGCTCCATGGCCAAATGTATACTACCAGAGGAATCGCAGTGTAGACAACACAACAGCAGAAACAACCACTGTGAAATACAGCGCTATTACAATAAAGGCAAAAGTAAAAAGTGATTAGATATACTCAAACTGGCATCAAGTCACAGCTAATGTATGGCGTGGTGTCATGATCTGGCCTGTGCCAGCACGGCCTAGCCGGCCTAAGAGGCCTGGCTGGCAGTAGGAGGCAGCTAGGCCTACAACTCCCAGAGGGCATTGGGAGAATCAGAGAGGCAGGAGAGTCGGTTAGCCATTAACTGAGGAGAAACAGGGTGTTCTTCGGGTCTCTCTCTGCGGCCTGGTCCCACTGTGGGGACAGGCTGGTCTGGGAGAGAGGGAGCTACACTGGGATCAGCGTGAGTGCTAGGCAGGCTGGGGCCTGGAAGTAGAAACAGGTAGCTGCGTTAGTTTATGTTTATTTGTCCTTTCACACTGTTATTCCCTTTTGAAGCACCTTGCCGTGTCTTGTTTTTCCCTGCCCCACTGTTGTTTTAATAAACCCTTTTTGTGTAAGTATTTTCTCTGCCTGGGTCAATCACGCCTGTGTTCTCGGCTGTAAAAGGGGCTTGGGAAGGTACCCTGGGCCTCCCAAGGGACCATAAATCCAGGGTGGTGGCGGCGGAACCCAAAGACCCCTGTGGGGTCATGACACGTGGTGACCCCATGGAGTTTCCAAGGCTACAGACAACAAGAGGTGTTTTGCCATTGCCTGCCTGCCTGCCTGTGTGGAGCGACTGTAGACTTCCTTGGAAGTCTCCCATCCAGAATACTAACCAAGGCCAACCCTGCTTAGCTTCTGAGATCTGATGATATCCAGCTAGTCTGGGCCATCCAGGTCAACCCCCTCCCCCCCCCCTGCCATTTAGCATATCACGTACTGGATTCTCCCTCTCCAAGCAGGCATAAAACTGGCTAGATGACGTTCAAGAGCAATGAGTGTAATGCCTTAATTTATCATCTTGTTCATTTTTTGTCTTCCAGCTCCATGTTCGTGCATGTGCATTAATCCGGAAACAAGAAGGCTGTCCGTAGGTCTAGACAATGGTACAATTTCAGTAAGTACTAAGAATTCCGGTTGGCTGAATTTTTTCTTGCAGTGTGTGGGTTTTGAGGATTCTTTAACACTATTGAGTGAAGGCCAAAAATGACTGTCATCCAGGAGACTCTTGAGCACATCTGTAGAGGTTTCAAGGTCCCCCCCCTTTTTTTGTTTTGCTTTGCTTAAAAGCAGTCTTTTACTGCTGCTAATTGGATCAGTGAATCAACACTTCTAGAGGGAGCATTTGACCCCTTTAACCCACGTTATTTTCCAAATCTGTGTCGCTGCCCCACTGAGCAGAAAAATACATGTTGTGACATAAGGTCACAGATCTGCTACATCATAATATGTTTTGTACTTAAATGACATGTAAGTGAAACTAAAAGCTACAGGGGAGACCCTCATCAGACTTTGCTTTTGAGGTCACTAACCGCATCCCAGGTATGATTGGGCTTTAGGGACATTTGTCCGCATGTGAATTAATCAGAATTTCTAAAAGTTATATCACGTTTTGTGTTCTTAAAAATTCAGAATAAGTGGAGACTGTTTCAAAGCGGCAAATGAAAAACTTGCTTGGAGAGTGTAAAAGAGCAAGAGTCCAGTAGCACCTTAAAGACTACCAAAATATGTGGCAGGGTCTGAGCTTCCGTGAGTCACTCTCCACTTTCCAATAAATAGGACAGATGGACTCCCATTCTAGCTGTATCTGAAGAAGTGACTCATGAAAACTCATACCCTGCCACGTATTTTGGTAGTCTTTAAGGTGCTACTGGACTCTTGCTCTTTTCTACTGCTGCAAACAGACTAACACGGCTACCCATCTTACTCTGTCTCCTCGGAGAGCTTAGTGAGGTCTAGATGCCAGACCGCAGGCTTCACTTGTGGTTTCTCATTAGTCTGGATGCCTGATACGGATAAAATGCATTCAACCACTGAATATGGTTGGTATGGAAGAAAAGGATCAAAGGCCTGTGACTTTGGCCAGCTGTTGCTGGTTAGGATGTTAAGTACGTGGTGTACTTTTCCTGCTTCCATCCCCAGGCAGGTCTATTTGTGCTGGGCTTGGAACTCAGTTTCCAGATTTCCAGATGCGTGGGTCCCCAGTTTGGACTGAGGCTATGGCGCACAAAGATCCATCCTTCCCACATCATCTTCATGATTTGAAATAGCCCTGGAGAGCCACTACTTGCCCCACAGGGGAAATTTACCTGTGGTATATGTTCAGATCATCAGTTCATTTAAGTCTCTCTAACAGGAAGAAAGTTGATTCATTTGAGGTGTGGTGTTGGAGGAGAGTTTTACAGATACTGTGGACTTCCACAATGACAAAAGAAAAAAATCAAGCCTGAACTCTTCCTAGAAGCTAAAATGACCACACTGAGGCGATTGTACTTTGGTCAGATTATGAAAAGACAAAAGTCACTGCAAAAGACCATAATGCTAGGGAAAGTTGAAGGCAGCAGGAACATGAGATGGATTGGGCTCCATAAAGGAAGCCACGGCCCCCAGACCTGAGCAAGGCTGTTAAACAATAGGACGTTTTGGAGGACATTAATTCGTAGGGTTGCCATAAGTCGGAAGTAACTCGATGGCACTGAACACACACGTAACAAGGCAAGTACCTCTCTGGGGCCAGTTAAGGATAGGAAAATGGTACAGGGATGAAGGCTAAGTCCCCACCCAGTGCATGCTGCAGTCCCAATCCGAATCGGGGCCAGTGTGCTGGAAACTTAAGTCCCCAAAAAGGAACTCCCAGACCTCATCCAGGAAAAGTATACCATGTAGTTAGTCGGATAGCAGCAGTTGGCAGGTATTTTACACACACTGAGCTATGAAGCATCAGGAACATTCCCAGACCTTTCTGCAATGTTCCCTCTAAGTTGTGGAGTCTTGTGAGCAAAAATCCTACTTTGTGAGCTACTGGCATTAAAGTTGTGAGCGAGCGATTTGGCTGCTGCATAAATTAGTTTGCTCTGGAGCCATCCTTCCTGAGCTAAGACAAAAATGTGTGAGCTGGAGGCTAAAAAAAACTGTGAGCTAGCTCACACTAACTCAGCTTAGAGGGAACACTGCCTTCCTTCCTGATCTTGACCATATTTTACTCAGAAGTCAGTCCTTGTGGTTTCAGAGAGACATGCTTCCATGTAAGTCTGCTTGGGATTTCAGGCGCTGTAGAGTCCGTTTTTTATTTGCCCCAAATTTTGCTTCCTTTCGGGTGGACTCAGGGGCAATGCCTGCTTTGATACTCTTTTGCTTGAAACAGGCATGCATTTGTACGGTGCCCCGAGTGATGACTATACGGGAAGAATTGTGGGTCATCCCTGCAGGCGGTCGTTCATAACTATGGCACAGCTTTCACCAATGCTGCCATTTTGAGAGGTGATACAAACCTTGATTCTTCCCATCCTGTTTACCATGAGCTGTGTTCCTGATATTTGCCAGGATAAGGATATTGCTCATCTGCCTTCCCAGTCATTGTTACTGCATGCCACCTTCCTTTCCCGCCTCCGCTGAAGGAGGCTGCCAGTAGATCAAAGCTTTTTACTTCTGTTTGGCAATTCCCTTGGGAAATGTATGTCCAGAATCTCTGTTGTACAGTTTATTTAGGGATTTGCATATCTGTTTTTACCCCTCAGTGGGTGCAGTTTCCAACACCCATTTTCCCACCTCACTGTTATCCACACCACCCTTTTAGGAAGGTTAGGGCTGAGAGTGAGTGACTGGACTGAAGTTACCCAACAAGCTTGCGTGGCAGAGTAGGGATTCAGAGCTTGGTCTCCCTTGTCCTAGGCTGTCACTTTAACCACCACCACCACCACCACACAGTTGCTCTTGTATAGCAATCCCCTTTTCCTCTGTCCATTTGTCTGCCCTTGGGACGAAAAGGGGGCATTGCCAGCCAAGCTTTAGAAGGACCATTGCTCAGTGGTTGAACATCTGCTTTTCATCCAGAAGGTCCCAGGGTTCAGTCTTTGCGATGTCCAACTAAGAGATCTCAGGTAGCCGGTGGGAGAAGACTTTTCTCTGTCTGAGTCCCTGGAGGAGGGCGGCGGTGGCTGGTTGGAGTGGGCACTAAATAGGTACCGCTTCGGTGGGAAGGTAACAGCGTTCCGTGCGCCTTGGTGTTTAGTCATGCCAGCCACATGACCATGGAAACGTCTTCGGACAGCGCTGGCTCTTCGGCTTTGAAACGGAGATGAGCACCGCAACCCTAGAGTCGGATTCGACTGGCTTTCGAGCAAGGGAACCTTTACCTTTACCTTAAATATCTCTGAATGGAGCCAGGGCAAGGGGTGAAGTTCACCACACAGACCTCTTTGTTTTCCTGTACAGAGGTCGGACCTCCAGAGCTCCACCTCAGTAGCATCCTGCCTGGTTTCATTCAGTATATCAAGCGACTTTAGTGCTGGATGAGGTGTTTCCCTGTATAACGCATCTCTTTGATGACGAGTGGAGGAGGTCAGAAACTGTGGCACATGGTTAATTTGTGTGATGTCCAGCTAGAAAGAAATGCTTCATTTGTGCTCGTCTTATTCTAACTTGGGGGCCTGCGGTGGCTCAGTTGTTAAGACGCTGAACTGCAGGAGGTTGGTAGTTCAGAAGGTCGAGCTCGAGGGCCACGTGACGGAGTGAGCTCCCGTCTCTGGTCCCAGCTCCTGCCAACCTAGCAGTTCAAAAGCAAGAAATTGCAAGTAGATAAATAGGTGGGTGTCAGCTAGCTGCCATAAAAGACCGGGAGGCAGTTGGTTCCCCCCCCCCTCCCCTGGCATCTGCGCATGCCCTATCTTCCCTGTGTATGATCTTGTCTCATGCATTCCTGTCTGTAAACGCTAGGCAACGCTTATCTGTAAGGTTAACAGGTGTGTGGGGGAGTTGCTTTGCCAAATGTATAATGAACTGCACCGTGTGAAGCTGTAATTGTTTAGGTTTAAGGACCGTTGCTTCTCAGGCTTTTGAGCGCGTAACCTGGAGTCTGCATCTAGTCATGCCGGCCACATGATCATGGAAATTCCTTCAGACAGCGTTGGCTCTTTGGCTTGGAAACAGAGATGAGCACCGCCCCCTAGAATAGCTTTCGAGCAAGGGAAACCTTTACCTTTACTACTCTAACTTAGCACCTGAAATTGTAACTTGGATCTCTGTAAGAGAATAAATAAGAGCTTTTTGACTTGGTATGTGTGTTCTTATCTTTTAGTCCGGTATTTACCTGAAAGGAAGATGATCCTGAATGGAAGATGATCCCCCTAAAAAACATTGTATACAAAAAAAAATTTTTATTGTACATAACCATAGCTTGTGTATGAACTGAACATGACCCTGTCTCTTTCTTGGCAGTACATATGGGGGGAAATGTCTTCCTTTCTGGTGGGGCAACTTTTACAGTCGTGGTGCCAAGCTGATTTCTCCCAGCAAGAGGGTCGGCAGTGTACAGTTTTTATTAAAATGAAATAATTTCTCAGACGTTTTTGGAGGAGCCCCTAGAGGTCTGCTGTTAGTGCAAGGTGAAGGTGATGGATAGTATGTCTTCTTCAAGTTTTTGTGGCCCTCTGGCACGAATTGTAAAATAGCTTCATCATTTCGATAACTAGTCTTCCTTTTGAGATGAACATCTGGCTGAGATCTCGTGATGCCCTTGTAATGGCAGTGTTTGTAGTTTGTACTTCAAGGAACTGTGGCATGTTGGTTGGAAGTATGAGAGTGTGCCTCAAAATGGCTGCCACGTAGACAAGACTGCCTCTGTATAGGCCTTTGTACAAGTCAAACTGAGCTCATATTCCGGATTCTCTTGCTGGGCAAAGACCAAAAGGAACACAGGTACTCAGTTCCTAATTTGCTGCAGGCTTCATGAAGAATTAAAACTGTGATGAGACATTGGCCCAAGCTGACGAAAATAAGGAGAAGGAATAGTTGGAGTTCGAGAAAACAAAGGAGCAACTCCCCCCCCCCCATTTTGATCAGTTTGAATTCAGATCTGTGTGGGCCTCATGTTCAGATAGAAATACTGTAGAAGTTAAC